TTAATCAACTTGCACTGCTGCGCACCAGGTATATCATTGCTTTGATCTCATTTGTTTAGCCCTCGAAAATGGCAAATTAATCAGCCACTGGGTGACCCAAATTGACCGTTCAGTGTCATGACACGATCTCAAACGTTTCTTCATCACATAGAGCTACTCACTCAACCTCAGCACTCGTGCTGATCTTTGTGATGAGTTTTAAATACAGTGTGTGACTGCAGCAAGACTTAAGAAAACAAGATAAAACAGAAACAAAACAAACGCCTAAAATCTTTTTATGTGCACAAAATTGTGTAGAAAAAGTATTGTAATTCTAAATATATCATTATAAGTGTTGGTAAGGACCATATAAGATTATAAAATAAGTCCAAATAACCAACAAATCTATACTTGTACTCATTGTTAATACACTTCTGTACTTTTATTTTATTATTTATTTTCAAAGTGATCTTAAACACAATGTCATTTCATTATTTTTTTAAATAACAGGTGTAGTCAACTTGGATAATGCCGTTGGTAAAGATGAGGCGATCAAAGACCTCAAACCGAGCTTAGAAGAAAACTGCACTCCCTTTTGACGGTCTGGATGTGGCTTCGCAGGGGTCCCACGTTTGGAGTTGCCGACTGCCCCGGGCCAGCCCTTCACTCCCAGGCCTGGCCCACGGGAGAAGAGGAGCCCAGAGAAGCTGGTCTGTCATAAGCAGGGCTAGAGATGTCTAAATCATTATTAATTTGTAAAAGTTAACCAAATTTATACAAATTTACAAGATTAATTTAAAAGTGAATGTGTCCACAGGTAATCTGGAGTAAGCAGTATTTTATAATTCCCAGGATCCCTAGCACAGGGCCAGTCAGATAACAGGTGATATTTCCTAATTCGTAATTCAAATTACAAAAGGATTTATTAAATTCAATAAATAAATTGCTGCATCTATAACAGACCACATTGGGAGGACCTTCTCTTGCACAATGACTTAGGAAGTAGAGCTGATTTCTCCAGGTGCCATTGAGGACAACACATTATTCCACTCTGGGTGTTGCGCAAACTGGTTTATTTCCCACCCAAGGGAACAATTTAATACCCTCAAGTAGTAAGTTAGTCATCACAACTCCTGATGTCAGATTTAAGACATAAGTGTCTGGACTGGATCCATACACTTAAACCTTAGGAATGTTCTGTTATAGGAAACCCCAGTATAACATCTTTTTTTTCCTAAAATAAGTTGGGGGAAGTAGGGCAGGTGCTGCAGTGAAGGTCCCCACATGCACCTAATCTTAATTCTATTTCCTGGTATCTAAATAAACCCTGACTCCACAAAAACTCCAAATCTATAGGACACAGTGAAAGAAGTCCTGAGGGAAGTTCATAGCACTACGAGCGTACCTCACAATACAAGAAAAACTTCTAATAAACTCTCTAACCCTACAACTTAAAAACTTAGAAAGAGAACAAGAAAATTCCAGAGTAAGTAGAAGGAAGGAAATAAAAAAGATCAGAGCAGAAATAAATGACATAGAGGCTAAAAAGCAACATGAAAAATCAATGAAATTAAAACCACAATGAGGCACCACTTCACATCTGTCAGAATGGCTACCATCAACAAATTAACGAACCACAAGTGCTGGCGAGGGTGTGGAAAAAAGGGAACCTTAGGACACTGCTGGTGGGTGCCGGAGCTGACCAGCAGACCCTGAGTAACTATGAATTACTCATACACAGAATTCTTAGAGAATGAGAGGCTGAGGGACTGAAGGAGTTAGAGATCTTCCAGCCCCAAGCAAGCAGCACACTTGGCATTTATTCACCAAAGTTACACCACTCTCCACCACAAAACATTTTCCAGAATACATAAGATAACATCAGCAGTTCTCTGTTCCTTCTGAGTCAGTGCTTTATGGCCGCTGGAACAGTAACCAACCTCGGGGACAACAGACATTCTTCCTCCCATGACTAGCTGACCCACCCGTACTACCTGTTTCATAACAGGCAATTATTCATTTGCAGTCAAACGTGAATGGACTTACAAGACTGGGCCGCCTTCAGCCCTTCTTCTAGGCCTCCTCTGTCCTTCAGAGTCAGCTCTACAAGTCCTTTAACCATTGCTGCATCCCTACAGTTGGGAATGCAGACTGGTGCAGCCACTGTGGAAAGCAGTAAGGAGGTTCCTCAAAAAATTAAAAATTGAACTGCCATTTGACCCAGTGATCCCACTTTTAGTAATATATCCTAAGAAACCCGAAACACCAATCAGAAAGAAGTTATGCACCTTTATGTTCATAGCAGCACAGTTTACAATAGCTAAGATCTGGAAACAGCCCAAGAGCCCATCAGTAGATGAGCGGATGAAAAAGCTGTGGGACATTTACACCATGGAGTACTACGCAGCTGTAAAGAAGAAGAAGCTCGTACCCTTTGGGACAGCATGGAGGGACCTGGAGAGTATTATGCTAAGTGAAATAAGCCAGGCAGAGAAAGATAAGTACCACATGATCTCACTCATATGTGGAATGTAATAAACAAAATAAACTGATGAACAAAATAGATCCAGAGACACAGAAGCATGGAACAGACTGAGGGATCTCAGAGGGAAGGTGGGGGTGGGGATAGTGGGTGGGGAGAGATTAATCAAAGAACTTACATGTTTATAAGCATAACCCATGGACACACATTGATATGGGGAAGGCCTAGGGGTGGGGTGAATGCGGGATGGAGGGGATCAATGGGGGGAAAAGGGGACATCTGTAATACTTTCAACAATAAAGATACTAAATAAGTGAATAAATAAATAAATTTTGACTCAACGAAAGTCTAATACTCCTCACAATTTCACTTACGAGGAAGACAGGGTTCACATTTTAACACTGATTTAAACTGAAAGTAAAATAAGATTTAAGAATATTTTATGTGGTTGAATTCTACATCTGCTGAAAAAATATGCTAGGTCATTTATAAAGAATAATGTTGCAATCTGAAGATTTTAATACCTTAGTGTGCAAGCTTGTGATAATGCAGTATTATCTTTTTAACCTTATTCTCTAAGAAATATTTAATTTATATCCTTTATGTAGTACTGATGTGTACAAATCCTTTTTGAAATATGTAAAATATTCATGATTTCATATACTTTACTGTCATACCCTAACATATTACTTTATAATGTTTTACAATTATGCACCTAATTTTAAAAATGACATTTAGTAGTTATATGGAAAGAAACCAAAAGACGAGTGGCATTAGACAAACTCAATCAGAAAATGAGGCAAAAAAATTACCTTTTTTATTTGGCAATCCAAGTTAGCAACAACACTAAAAAAATTACCTAACCTCCCTCTGGTACTGAAACTCCTATGCTANACTCAATCAGAAAATGAGGCAAAAAAATTACCTTTTTTATTTGGCAATCCAAGTTAGCAACAACACTAAAAAAATTACCTAACCTCCCTCTGGTACTGAAACTCCTATCACTTCTTTTTCTTGTTTGTTTTGTTGTTGTTGTTAGCCCTCACCCAAGGATTTTTTTTCCCCGTGGATTTTTAGAGAGAGCGAGAGGACCAAGGTGCGGGGGAGAGAGAGGGAGAGAGAGAGAAACATCGATGTGAGACACATTGATTGGCTGCCTCCCGCACCAAGGCCAGGGATCAAACCTACAACCCAGGTAAGTGCCCTTGACTGGGAATTGGACCCACCACGCTCTAACCAGTGAGCAACACTGGCCAGGGCTCACTTCTTTTTAATTATAATACTGTAAAACAAAGTAACTTCAAAATAAAATTTATTGTAACCAAAAAGCCAAAATTATAGAAATTTAGACAAAGTTTAAGTTTACACACAAAAATACAAGTAATTCCTTTTTGTTTTGAAAAGTATATCCTTAAAAATACTTCAATACAGACTGGAGAAAATTAATGTTGACCAGGGTCCAGCTACTGTTTGTTTAATGAAGTTAAAACTCTTTTTTAAAAAGGCAAGCAAAACAAAAGGGAAATTGGTGTAAGAAAAGTAAGTATTGTAGCATTTTCGAATATGATTCTTTATGAAATGAAAATTAGGATGATGTCTTCTGGCATATGGTAATCTTTATAAACAGCACATGGCATGCAGCATACTTCAGGATGCCAAGAAGTTTCATTAAACCTCACCTTCAGTAAAGCTAATAACAGGACGGTTTTTCAAAGGCTGAGATATTTGAACTACAATAGCAGCAGTTTAAAACAGAATAGGAAATAAAGGGAAATTTTATCACATTCTTACAAACGTATCCATTAACTTCTGGTGAAGATCTTATTTTTATGTAAGAGTTATAGTTATTTTTTCAATCAATGCTTATATGCATCAATTGAAATTACCCTACATTAAGTTTCTGAAGTAACTGCAGTTAGCTACAAACAATGCACATAAGTGCAGACACATGAGAGAATTATTTTCATTCTGTGAAAAGTGGGAGTGTTCCATTGGGAAATATACATTAGAAATAAAAATTACAAACTTGAAATAAACCAAAAAAGACTTAAATAGTACTGTATCTTGAGTCCAATTGTTTAATATGATGTTTAAATTTAGGCTTTTAATTATTTTTTCATGTAGGAAATACAAGATTTCTTTTTCTTTTACTTTCCTACAATGTTAAGTGAAAAAGGAGAGGGGCGTATTTCACATAAAAATAAAAGATGAATCCTGAGATTTCCCCTAAATGTCTTACTGCCCTATAGATATGGGCTTGTTTCCTAGTAAGTAATGGAATACCGTTTTTTCACAAATCATGATGGCCCCTTTGAGTCCTGAGCTTCCTTAAAGACAAGAAGCTATGACTAAATTGTTCAACATGGCATTATAGTGAAAAAAGTCTTTCTAATTCTATTTTTCCTTAAATAAGCTCTATTTCTTGTAATTCACATGACACCCTTTGGCTGTGGTTGTCTGTTAAATTTCCTGTTTGGTCTAGTTTAGGCAAACCAAAACAAAAAGCTCACAGAAAAGGCTATGGTAACTGCTTTTTTCCTTTTGGTATTTCCAATGAAATGTTTTCTCCCTAGTGGTACATAGAAAGGGAGAAAATTAGCCACAAACAAGGTGTAAGTAGGTCACAGAAGTTTCAATGCACCAAAAAAAGTAGCATCTCCGTCCTGTGATATTTTAGCATCTCCGCGGGGGATAGCAAGTTGGAGTTCATCTCCTTCTTCCAGCTTTGCAATGCCTGGAAAAGAATGGTTTACAAGAACTTTAAGTGGTTGTAAAATGGGAAAGAAAATATAGGAATATCAGATAAAACAATTTTGTTTTGGAAAAAATGTTAACATAGGCATTCACACTTCAAACTATACCAATGGACTTCTAAACCAGTTGCTATTCTATTAGCCTAAATAAAAAAAGTTAAAAGAAATGAACAGGAGTTCCAGCAGATGTAAATGTATTTGCCACCTATTGCTTATAAAATGGAGACTCTAAACAGGAGCCAAATGTTTAACTTTAAGAAAAAAACGTTAAGTAAATCTAGCACATCCCTTGATGGAATATTATATAGTTAAAAATGGTTTTGTTTCATTTTATTGACAAGAGAAACTTTTCATACTAATGTTAAATAAAAATACACACACACACATATATATACTTTTAAATGTGTAGATCATTAAAAGTAAAAAACAGGAAATTTATTAACTAAGCACATCTATTACATAGTTTTCTCTAGAGGCACCATTATGGAGTTAGAAGTCATTTGGATTACTTTTATAGCCTTCTATAGTTTGTTTCCTTTAATGATCATATCTGTTTTTATAACCAAAAGCGACAAAATAATTAGCTTCTTGAAACTAACCAATAAATCTGTATGTGCCTAATTACAATGACATATTTTGTGATTCAGAAACACAAAACAATTCAAGAACTACACTCAGTACATCAGGTAATTTCTGACCCCATTAAAAAAATATCTACGTGAAAGGAAAGAAAGAGGAGAAGGGAAGGAGAAAAAAAACCCTAACAAACGAAATAGTCTCTGAATTGTCGACACATCCAACTAACATTTTAAAAAGTAGTTGCACTGCTTCATTAACAGTGAAAATGTACTCACGTGAGCACATCTGTGTTAACATCTATTCTATCAGGGAACCCAAAGCACCCAATTTTCTTGGGCAACAGTTAATCAGTGTTTCTGTGCTAAGCACTTATGCTGCACCAGACACCCTTCTAGACACACAGAACAGTGTGCGTAACACAGGTTTTTTTTCCTCCAAGGATCTTGTTTTTTTGTAATGGACTAAGACAGACAACAAAAAATAGTTTTAGGTATTCTTAAGGGTAATGTGTACATTTTTCTAAGATTGGCAAAGCATTTAATGACTATAAAATTTCAAAAAATATACTGGAATTTTTTGTTGAATAGTTATTATCATAGAGATTAACAATAATCTAATTTTTATAAAGGCTACAGATCACAGAGCATTAAGTAATATTAATTCTCAAAATAAAGTAGGAGTGACCCCCACACCAAAACATGTTTTATTTTTTATTTTTCTTTAGGAAATTGTCAGGAGTTTTCTCAAGGAGCCAGAATAATATAAAGTCCACAGACTCATTACTCAGTTTCCGTGATTGTTAACCCATTGTCAATCTTCTTTCATCTATAATTTGAAGCAAATTCTAGACATCATATCATTTGAGTGTTTCTACAGGTATCTACACAATTTAACCACAAGAACCAACTACTTTTTAAGGTACATTCTATTTAAAATTCCGACCCTGAGTTACTGACTGCTTCAATTCTTTGAGCTTATAGCAATCTAACCTTTTCTACAATAATCGCCTTTAAATTGTAAATGAAATAATGATTAAGATTCTGCTTTGTGTACAAAAGAGATTCTTTGGTATTATGTTGGGTTCTTCCAAAACACCAGTATAATTTTTTTTCAGGTTACTATGGAAGCACTTCAGACACTTACACAGTTATGTATAGTTTTTAATGGTTTTAAACAAATTTGTCCTAGAACAGATAAATATTGCAAACCTGAATTTTCCTACAGAATGGTTCTCATATTTAATACTAAGCTATTAGTACTGAGAAATATCTTTAAGGTCAAATTATTTATTCTTAAAAAATAGGGCACCTACGAAATCTGGTGGAGAAAGTAAATGTGAGAGGAACAGGCTATTAGAGAATCTGAAAGTTTGCTGTTGAGCTGTAAGTACTAATGAATATAAATAAATAGCAGATTGGCATAGCCTCACTGTTTATAAAATTTTGCAACACCAAGATCCTTGTCACCACTGGGTATAGGGAAGCCTTTTTTTATGAAAATTAGGGGATTCCAATGTAACTAACTTCCTCATTGCCCTGTTCAAGCTGTTATGACTGCAGATCCAGAATGACCATAATCCCTATTACCTAGTGCTATTTCCCTTTCTTTCTAACTGATTTATTGTGCATTCATCAGTAAAGGCCTTTGAAATATGGTACCTCAGGTTGGGCAGCCAATCTCCAATCCTGTGTTTCATACTGCCATTCATGGTAACTGACACTGAAGACATTCCTCAGAGCTCTAAATGGATTTGCCAAAATCACCAGAAAGGAATAAATGTGTTAAGGCAAATACTCTTTTTTTCTAATAACAGCCTTGATTAATTTGGAATTAACCCCCCCCCGTCCCCCCAAACAAAATAAAGGCTTTGTTGGCAATATAGCCAAAACAGGCCTGAAATGAACAAAGCCTGCCCTTTCTCTTTCCTCTCCATGTCTTTACTGCCCCTGAGTTGAAATGCAGACTTACTGCCACACTTTCACATCCCAAGTCACCTGTCTGGTATCCATTACACCAGATGTCATCTGTATGAAAATGAGAGAAGCCACTGGGCAACTTGACCTGACCCCTCACATCAGCCAAGGGAGCGTCTTCCACAGTTAAGAGGAGTTTCTGGTAGCTCACACTCTGGAATCAAGCTGGCTGGTTTACACCATGTTCTGGAACTTAGTAGCTGCAACCTGAGAGCACGGTGCTGCGGCAGTTCTGTGCCTCGGATTCCACCTCCCTGAAATGGGAGGGTGAGGCGAACAGGCGTGAAGTGCAGACAAGGGCGCCTGGCACAGGGTCACCATCCTCTTACTCTTCTAGTATTGTCACTGTTGTGCTTACAGGTTGAAGAAAACACAGCTTGGAACTGATCTCAATGACGATTACTATGAAGTTACTGCCCTTTCTAAATGCATATAAAAATGATAAAACTAATAGTAATGATTTTTATCCGCCTCAGTGAAAACAGACTAGTGTATCATTCAAGAGAATAATAAAAACCACAACAGTACACTGAGGAATGTCTTTCTATTTACAGAGGACTATTACTTACCAGCTGAATAACAGGAATTATTCGGTAGTGTTTCAGGCATATTCTGAATACATCGGAACAAAGTCACCAGACTCATCTCGTCCCCAAAGACATGGACTTTTTTCCTCAGTATTAGGTGTCCCATGGCAAAGGTGCTATCGGTGTATAAAACCTGAGAAACAAACCAAAGAACTTTGTCAGAAGTGAGCACGAGATGGGAGGCATCGCACAGTGACAGGAGGATGAGGGTGAGACCCACCTGACCATATATAAAAAAGTAACCGGTTTCCTTGACCAAGATTTTATTTTCTCTTTCTTCTAGGGCTCTTCCTCTTTTAAAGCTGAGAAGCCAAGGAACGTACGTGTAATCTCCTACAACGAAGGGAACAATTTATAAGACAGGAAACTGAGAAAAGCAGTTTCCACTTCTACTTAATTGCTAAACTAAGCCTGAGACACAGAGGAGAATTTTACCTTTAAAAAAAAGAGGGACAGAGGACAGACAAGTCAGAGTACTCCACTGGTTTCTCCACCGTCATCTACATATTCATCCAGGCAACTATCAGACACAGGAACTTGAGAGCACACCCTCCACATATTGAAGTGTCTGGGTTTTCTTTCATTCTTCTTCTGTATTTCGGCAATTTTCCTAATAAAGGATGGTCTGGATGGGAGAGTTTGAGGCAAAGGATGTGCAAAATGTATCTGAATTGAGTAGCACACTAACAGAGATTTTTCAGTTTTTCTTTGGTTCCCAGAGAGGGCACGGTTGTTTGTGGAGAGTTTAGCAAAGGTTATCAGGAGGAAGCAAGCCCCTCTTTCCACTGAAGTCATGTGTAAAAACTGGCGATAAAGAGTTTGGCCCTTATTCCTGAGGTCTTTGATTCCTGGGCTATCTGTCATTATCTAGTGTGCCACTGGGGGGTTTTCACTTAAGGAAAGTATTTCTCAGAGACCTTCTTTGGGAACAGCAAATTGGGGTGATCAGGCCTGGCCCCCATTGGGGGGCATTCACTCTGTGACAGGTGGCAGAGGAGGTTCCTGGGAGTGCTTACTGGGCCAACAAGAACACCTTTGAAGATCAGTTTAAGGAGAGTCAGGAAAATTGCTAACACGTAATCTCTACTGGGAAATGGTCAGAAACTTTGTGATAATGGTCTGTAATATTCAAGCTGAAGTGGCTCCTGTTCAGTACCATAATTCTCCTCCATGTCCCTCAAGTTTACTTGGGGAGTGACAGGGAAGGCGCTGTGCTCATGAGCCGGATAAAGGAGCAGAGAGAAGACAGCAGCTCCAGAAATGAGTGGGCAGGAGGCACTAAATCACTGAGCAAGACATGGTGCTTTGGGACATCAACACCCATGAGGAAATTATAAACACCCCTTTCCTGTGAATTCAGTGTTAAGTTCACCAGTGCAAATTCTCAGCATTATGTATATATTGGAGCAAACAACGAACCACAAAGCTAGACTGGGAATCCTTTTTGGGGGGGGGGGGGCATAAATAAAATGGTATAAAATAAATAGAGATTAAAGAAATGGTAATATCCCTATGTTCACAGCAGTGTTGTTTACAAGAGCCAAGATATGGAAGCAGCCCACAGGCCTACCGGTAGACCAGTGGATAAAAAAGGGGTGGTACATTTATACCAGGTCAGGTGGCCTCAGTTAGACCAATTACGGATCTAATTGATGGGGGCTGCTGAAATGGACTGGCTCCTTTCAAGGTGACAAATGCAGATGGTCTGGTCGCCGTGCTGAGGAGGAAGTGAAGTCCATATATGTCCATGTAGCAATCATGGAACCAGGATGTTTGCTGTTGGGTCTTGAGTTGAATTTAGCAACAGGTCAGTGATTTAACAACAGTTCTAAGAACTGAGACACCAGATGTGCACAGGCCTCACCTCCTCAGTGGCCTCCCTACTCCACTTTAAATGACTCCTTAGCAATGCTTATTGCATTTTATTTTTTCCATTATCACTTGTTGGAAATATTAAAGTGAGTACATCTTTACTTGTTTTTATATGCTGGCTGTATTTTCCCCCATGCACACACATGCACATACACTCACATTCATGCTCACATACAGACATGGATTCTGCTCCATAAGGCCAAGTATATGGCTCTGCTACAGTCATAGTTGCAAACCCAAATGCTAAGAATAAAGCCTAGCACATGTTATGCACTCAATAAATATGTGCTGTTGAGTAAATGTTAAATCCTTAAAGAAAACAAGCTAAACAGTAAATTAAAAGCTAGAATAAATATAAACTTAAGCATAAATATTACAGCATGTTTCTACATCTTAAAACTTACTTAGATTTTTTAGCATGCTAATTGGACTACTGATAGATGCCAATAAGAATATATGCATTAAATGCCTTTTCTGTAGAATGCTTTTCTAAGATAGTACACATCATTACTCATAGTACATATTTAAGAATTTGGAAGTAAATTTCGAGAGTATTAATGCTTATTTTTGTATTAATATTTGTTTTTATTTTATTTTGTGAATAGGAAATTTCCTCCCAAATATTAATAATTCAGTGTTACCTCCCCCAATAACTGAAAATAAGTGCTACAGAGAGCAGGTATTACACATATCACATGTCATAGCTATCACAGTTGGTTACTTCTCTTGATTTTCTAGTTTATTATTTTTAAGATGCTGAAAATAGTTTTAAGAGAGAATATATTGATAATCCTTTTTTTAAAAAATATATTTTTATTGATTTGAGAGAGAGAGAGGAAGGGAGAGGGGGAAAGAAACATTGATGAGGAATCAATTGGCTGTCTCCTGCACACCCTCCCCACAGGGAATTGACCCCACAGTCCAGGCACTTGAGCCCCAGTGGGGAACCTAACCAGTGACCTCCCGGTGCCTGGGGTGATGCTCAACCAACTGAGCCACACCAGCCAGGGCCATTGAAAATACTTTTTAAAAGGTAGGTTAAGTAAACCAATTCAAGAAATAGTGATTTTTTTGTTTTGTTATAAAACAAATATAGTTTGGCATTAAAATCCACAGTTATATATGTTTTATTCTGCAGATGAGGTAGGGCAAGAAAAGTCAACAGAAAGCAAAAGCTAGGGAGGCAAGGCCATGTAGGCTGAGCTATTTGAATGGCAATGGGAGGTCCCTGGAAGGCTGTTAGTGGAGAAAACGATAATTTGTCTGTAGAAATATCACTCAGTGGCTACCAGGTTAAGAAAAAGTGCAAAAAAAAAAAAAAAAAGAAAGCCCGGCCAGTATTGCTCAGTGGTTGAGCATTGACCTAGGATCCAGGAGATCGCAGTTCAATTCCCGGTCAGGGCACATGCCCGGGTTGCAGGCTCGATCCCCAGTCGGGGAACTGCAGGAAACAGCCGATCAATGACTCTCTTATCACTGATGTTTCTCTCTCTCTCTCTCTCCCTCTCCCTTCCTCTCTTTGAAATCAATAAAGATATATTAAAAAAAGAAAAAAGAAAAAAGAAAAAAAAGGTGCCAAACTAGAGGTAAGAAAACCAGCCAGGAAAGAGATGCTAGTAGTGATTTGTGCTAGGATGGTGAGATGGGAATGAAGAGAAATAGATTAATTCTATTTATGAGAAGTAAATGACAGGGTTTTTGAGATTAATGTATAGAGTTAAAGGGAACAGTCAAGAATGACATCCATAATTCTGGATTAAAAAACTGAAGATGTAGTCATCACACTTACTGAAACAGGGAACACTGGAGGAGTAAACTTGGAGAAAAGTTCTAGGATGCCACCAAGATATTCTGGAAGAGATATTAAATAGATAGAGGTATATATAGACTTGGAACTTCTGAAAGTGATTTGGGCTACAGATCTACATTTAAGCCAACAGCATACATACGTTAAATGACAACATAGGAGCGTTTAATGCCAAAGAAATAAGAAGAATGAAAAGAGAATGGAACTATGCCAGAGGTCTAAAGAACATCAATATTGAAGAGATACATTTAAGAGTAATTTGCAGCAGTGTTTAAAAAGGTGTGCCCAAAAAGGTCAGAACATGGTTAGACAAACAAACCGAGAAAAGCATGTGTTTCAAGAAAAAAGACGTCATCAAGTACCAAATTGTATTGAAAGTAAATTTCATCACCGCCTTTATGCAAAATAATTATGTTGCAATGAAATAAACATGAAACTTCCACTATCAACATGATTATGGAAATACGTCTCTCCTTCTTTACCTCCTGTAAGTCATATGAAAGAAACAGACAGATTTATTTTTTCCAAAATAACTGCAAGGGATGCCAAAAGCAAATGACATCACACATCATACTGAGGCTGAGTGTAGAAGTAGAGAGAAGGGAAAAAAAAATGGTGAAAGGGCCTGGCAGTGGCAAACCTCACAAAGAATCAATAAAAATCAACTCCCTAAAGATGAGCAACCCCTAATGTACATACAGAAATCTCTTACAAACAGATAACCCAGGAAATTTCAATGTCAGCTAAAATACTTGGGAAATAAGGAGCTGGGGAAAACTCATTTAAGTGAAAATAAAAGTTTCTGAAGGGAAAAATGGTTTTGCACGAAACAAAGTAGGATGGAAATAAAGAAAAAATTAAGAATTTGGGGGTAAAATGGAGAACAATAGAATATAGAAGACAGGTAAAGAATTACCAGCATATACATAATTGAAACCCTGGAAGGCAAAACAAATAACAAAAGGTCAAGACAGACTGAAAAGGAACTTCATGTGTCAGGAAAAGGTGGTTCATAATAGTTCTATTAGTTTCTTATTGCTGCTGAAACAAATTATCACAAAAGTACTGGCTTACAACAACACACACACATATTATCTCACAATTCTAAACATCGGAAGTATCACTGGGCAAAAATCAAGGTGTTGGTAAGGCTGTTTTTTCCTGGAATCTGGAAAATGCATCCCTTGCATTTTCCAGCTCTGCAGTCTGCCTGCATTCCTTGGCTCATGGCCTCTTCCCAGGCAGCAAGCACATCATTCTGAAATTGGCTTTCATTACTATATTGCCTTCTTTGACTCTGATCCTGCTAACTCCCTCTATAAGGACCTTGTGATTACATTGGGCCCACTCAAATAAGCCAGAGTAATCTCTCCAAATTCCTGATCTTAATCACACTTACAAAGTCCTTTTTGACCTGTAAGGTAATATACTCACAAGTTTGGGGGATCAGGGTGTGGACATTTATTCTACCTACCGCAATATGCAATTCTGAAATATATATTAAAATAAGTAATACATTTTTAAGGTAAGAAAATTATTCTTTGTGTAACTAGACAAGAAAGTCAAGCCACTTATGAGAAGAAAAATTTCTCTTTAGTTTTCTTCAAAATGCATGTGTCAAAAGATTGCATAAATTTCTACAAGATACTCAAGA